CTTTCCTCCCAAGGAGCAAGCGTCTTTTAATTTCATGGCTGCAGACCAGCAGAAAGGACAAACAACGCGTATAGACTTGACTGCTGTAACGTAAAAGCTGTCTACGCCTAAAATCTGGAAGGAGAACGACCCTGAGTTAAAAGATGGAGAGGTGGACGCTCTCAGCCTGCTAGAAAACCAAACCTGGGAGGGAACTCCCATGCAAGCGTTGATTCTAACAGGGCAAGATAACGCACTGTGCTATTTAAAAGGTCAAAAGGAAAGCTGTAACAACCAAAGCTGTCAAATTCTGTTGCTGGATGTTAATAACAACTGCATAATAGTGATGCACCTTTGCACATGGTGGAGCAGCTCTCTCTCACCTACAGTAAACCTCTCCAAATGGGCTGGACTGGCATTCCCTCCGTGATGCTCATGGGCGCAGAGGTGCCCAAAGATGATCTCCCAGGCTGCTACATTGTTTAAAAAGCAAAAGATGGAAAGGATGGAAATAATCATATGGGTTGTGGCACGCTGCAAGTCAAAGCTCGAGCAGCGTTTTCATTCCCAAGACTCCAAGTACATGGCCCATAAACATTCTTGGAAAATAAGACTGTGGGGTGGTGCCAGCTCACTGCATTGTTAGAAGGGTATCTACCTCCCCAATCAAATGGGCAAAGGTAAACAGAGGAGGTAAAAAGTCTTCTGGAAAATGGGGTGGAACTGGAAGGGAGCCTCCATGCTCCTTTGCCTTCTGGGAAAAGGGTATTTTGGGACTAGATGCACCCCCCAGCAAATATTTCATGAGTATGCCCACAACATACTAAAATATCATCAATTTGGGCTTCACCTCCCAGAATTCTGGGAATGGTCACCCCAACACATCTGGAGAACACCTGGGGGAAGTGATAGTTGATCCTTAAGGAAGTAGTGAGGAAAGTGTGCTCCAGTGGAAGGAACAGCCTTTTGTAATGCTCCATTTTCTAAACATAGGCCAGTTGACTAATCCAAGGACGCTCTTCCTTTGTTGAGAAGCCTTCTGTTTACACTGAACTTGCAGAGCAATCTGCCCTCTGCAAATTGTCCAAACAGTTTTCTCTGTCACACCAGGTGGAACAGATGTTGCAGGAACAGCATCTTCTGGAGCCTGATGAAGGAAAAACAAGCGACTCCAAATTCCTTGAAGAAGCTGCTGGCCAGAAGAAAGATTGGGAAGGTAAAGCCAGCAGTGTGTGGTATACAGTATATCTCTGCATGCAACAGAGAGCTTTCTTGTATTAAGGTTTGAAGGCTGGAAACCATTATCTTCTCTTACCTTCCTTTTCTTATCTAGGCATGTTGAGCCGCTATGCAGTGAATTTAAATGAAGATTGGACTGACAATGCATCACCTGTGACAAGAACCTCTGAAGCTTTGCCTTATTCTTGCAGTGCTGGCCTACATGTAGATGGGACTTGTGTCTTGATATCAGAGACCCAGAACTTGCCGGAGACTGAGCTCCAGGTTAGCATCACCAAGCCGTGTCCAAGTGTACCATCCTCTCTCATCAACTGCAAAGAAGGAGACAAGGTGGAACATGAGGAGATGAAAGGAACCTGGGCCCCCACGGATGATCAAAAGCCACAGAGTGGTCCAGAAGTCACTGAGAACTCTGAATCTTTTCATCTGAAAGCAAAAGCCATTGGACTCCACAGGGCATCACCTTCTGCTTTGCTAGAGAATAATGTGGGGAAAGAACTTGAGGCAGAAGGTATCCAAATAGCCTGCTCACAACGAACGGATGACAGGGCAAATGTTACTAAACCTGCCAGGAACCGAGCCAGAGCATGTGACAGATCTGTCTGTGGAGACACTTCTGTTTCTCTGGAGGCAGATCCTGTACTGTATGTTCCACAACTTTCTTCATCTGCTCTGAAGGTTTCCTCAGATGCCCCAAAGGACTTAGTGCACAAAAACAGCCTAACTGTCAAAGAAGTTGGAAGAAGGCCTTCAGATATGGAACTTCAGCTTTCTCAAGGCCCTGTGAAGCCAACAGATTGTTTTCAGGGAGCATTGTCCACATTGAAGGTTGATCCTGATAGACCTATGCTTCTGAGTGCAGCGGGCAAGAAACCATACCTCCTACCTGAACTCAGTTGCTCTGTCCTGAGCAGCAGTGTCAGAAAGCCAGAGGACAACACTGTTCAAGAGTCGGGTAGTCTTTCTTCTGGAAGACCATCCACTGTGGGATCTACTGAGGTTGCTTCCAAAACCTGTCCTCCTGTCAGCTCTCCTGTTGGAGTTCAGCTGGGAAATGTCATAACCAAGGAAGAAAGCAAAGCTACAGAGGAGATGATCAAGACCCAGACGAAGTCCACTCCTGCTAAGCCAGTGAGGTTCACTGTTGCTCCAGCCTGGCAGAGATCTCTCTCAGGAGGTTCAAGCTCTGTAGACAATTCCTGTCCTAGAAATTCTCCAACATCTCCCATAAGACCAGAGTTGTTTGAAGGAATTTCTCCATTAGAGGCAATGTCACAAATAAGTATATTAAACAGTCCTGAGAGACTTGACAGGGGCGATAGAAACATGGCAGCCAACTTGAATTCTTCCACTGAGGAAGTGCAGAGCTGTGAGAGCCCATTTGGAGTAAAGCTGAGGAGAACCTCTTCTTTGCTAAAGTACCAAACAGAACATCATCGGGACCCTCCCAAGCTGGTTCCATTGGCAGCTTCTCCACCATCCTCTGTAAAAGTCGAAGCCAAGGCACCAAGCTCTGCAACCTCCCTTCAAAATCTTACAACTGGTGCTAAGGGTTTGGTTGCAAACTCCGGCACCCAAGAGAAAAATCTGCTTAAGGCCAAACCTGAAGGAGAAGGAGGGACCAAACAGCAAGCAAGCAAACCTTCAGGTATTTCTCCTATTGAAATGGGACAATGTCACTCAACAAGGTAGACCAGACTAAGAAACCAATGCCATAGAGGTCAGTGCTAACCAATGCTACTTTTATTGTAATAGCGGTAGTAACAGAATCTTGCAAGTCTGAATGTGCTTTCCTCCTCCCTTCCTTTATCTTTGTGTGAACTGGGGAGGGGGGCTTGTCTGAGACATTTTCTCACATTACTTCCTTGGCCAGGGCTCAAGCCCCGCTTATCTGACGGTTGCCTCGGTAGTGGTTCTTTCTCCTACCCTTCAGAGCCATTCCCTCTGTCCTCTACAGACAATTTCAGGGCTGTTCAGATTCTTGGGCTGCTCATTGATGTGTGAACAGTAAGAGTAGTGCTGTAAGATGTAGGAAAGAGTTTGCTACAAGAAATGTGCCTAATCCAAAAAGCAATGCCTGTATATACAATTATTTTTAGCTTCTCCACCATCCCTGCCCTTTTCCCCATCAGGATCCATGCATTGAGAACCCTGATTTCTCCACCGCCTTGAACAGTGTTGATGTTACGTCCGTTCCTGGCAGTATGGCTTCGTCCCCCTCAAAAATCCTGGTGCATGATTTCTCTTGTTTGAACCCTCTTGCCTACTGCTTACAGAACTCGAGTTTCTGGGAAGAAACTGGGTTTAGCCATTTACAACTGCACTACAAATATACCCAGCATTGATTTTTTATTTGTCTCTTCATTATTGTTCTTTCTCTGAAGCAAATAGTATTTAGGGCCCGTTTGATAGCAATAATGTGAAGATTAAAACAGACACTAAGAGAGCTATGTGGGCATAGAAATCAGGTGAAAAACAGGGCTAAAAAGCATTTCCCATCAGGCTGTTCCTTCAGAACAATTTTCTCTAGTTACACTGTCGTTGATGTACAGTGAGAAATTGATGGATATTGTAATAGAGCATACCTGGAAGGGTCCATTTTGGAAAAGATGGCTTACCGTGCTAAAAATCAACATCTCCATGGTTTTGTTTTGTTCAAAGCCAAGGAAATAACTGGGGACATCTTGACTTCTAATAGTTTGCACCAGAATCTGCTGCCTCGCTGTACCTAATACAAGAGCCAATCCCACCTATGGCAGGTAGATTCTTACAAGCAAGGTGGAAGCCAGGGCAGAGCCATGACAAGGTAGGTTTAGAGCAGAGCGCAGGCAGGTCACAGCTGAGAAGGACAAAGCTGAAACGTGGAGCTGTATTTCCATCCCTTTCTCTTCTAGAACAAATTCCAGTGTCGCTGTTGGGAGGCCCAAGCTTTCAGCCGACTTGGATCTCAGTGACAAAACTGAAACAGCAAGGGTTCCAGGGCAACGCTTTTGCCAAAGGACAGAAAAAGAAAGAGGAAGCTGTAGCCAAAACACAAAAAGAGGAGGTGAAACTTACAAGCGTGTCTCCCCTGGAAAAGGTAGAACCATATGAATACTGCGGTAATACAATGTGAGTCTTTGTCAGTGGGTGGAATGTCACAGGAATGTTGGAAGAGCTAGTCTTGACCTGTGAAACTCCTCCATATGCCTGACTCATATGTACAAACAGGGAGGAGATGCTCAGGGTCCTATTTTTATGAGAAATCAGAGTGATGTGCCTCTGAAGGCAGTCCCTTTCTGTGGTGGCCTTCACACTGTGGAAGATCCTCCTGTGGAGATACCCCTGACGTGTTCCTTGTTGACCTTCTGCGAGGCTGTGAAGACTCTTTTATTTAAATGAGCTTGATCTTTAGTAGAGTTTAGTGCTATGATCAGACTTCCATTTTCTTCATTTGGGTCAGTTGTTTATTGATGGAGATGTGAAGGACTTGTTTTTTTGGTAGGGTGGGTTGACATAAACTGTCCAGAGTTGTGGGAACTGGGTGGTGTATATATTTATGGAAATAAATAAATGAACAAATAAACATTTAAACAGAACAATTGAATAAAAGCAAAGCAAGAAACAATTGCAACCTTTCCAGCACCAGGTTTTGGATTTAGTCCTGAGATAATCCAGGTGGAAACTAATACTAGCTGCTGGCAAATGTTTGGTATCTCCTACCCCTCAAAAAACTAGGGAAGGGCTGTGAGAATGTACTTCTCACTATAATGCACTACATGGCCAAAGGCTCTCTTACAGCATTGTTTCGAAAACATTTAAAGAGCCTGGCTTATTAACAGCAGCTTCCAGCTGTTGTAGGAAGTCTTTTTCATCTTTCTAACGCTTGTCGGAAAGACCATGAAATGTTGCATTTGAACTGATCCGCTGCACGAGAAAAAAAAAATGGGCCATCTTGGTGGACCACTTCTGTGTTGCGTATAAGTTGATTTTCTTTTTTTTAACTTTATAGCAAGTAACCCTTACCAGCGACAATTCACCCAAGAAAAGCGGCCTTCACCAGCATGTGCGTCTACTGGAGAGTAAAGTACCGTTGAAGTCAGCTGCACTGGCTGCCAAAGGTATTAAGAAATAAGCTTTGATCTCACATTCTTGGACTAAAATCAGTTGCTGCTTGTTGATATATTTCAGAATTCAGAGAGTCAATGAAATGATCATGTTCCATGCTCAACCCCATTTCCCATTCCAAGGCCAGCATTTCCTTTCCTTTTCATCCTGGACCAGAGGAGAGGCCCATCTCATCCCCCTGCAAGACATTCCCCTGCAAGTCCTGTTGGTGGCCCAGTAGATTAAAAATTGCAATCCTTTCGGTGCGACATCAATTCCCCCAAAACACAATCTCCTAGGAGTAGCCTAAAGCTCTAAGTGTCTTCGCAGAATCCTCAGTTGCTGGTTTAATTCTCCTCTGATGACTAGATTTGAACTAATGTGGTTCTAGAACTCTGTTCCCTGTGGCAGGGGATTCTGCAGAGGAGGGGGTCAAAAAAGTCAAGATGGCATTTACAAATGCACAAAGCCCCGCCCCTTTGTGCATGTGACATCACACGCACATACCAAGGGGCAGGACCTTGATCACATGGTGACAGCTGCCATGTTGACTCTTCTGACCACTCCCTATAGATATCTGTGCTCCCATGGCCATGGTTTTTTTTTTAATATAATTTTTACTGAAAGTTTTAACAACAATAACAAGAACTAACGCAAACTAAAATAGAATGAAAAAGAAGAAAGCAAAAGGAAGAAAAAGAAAAGAAAAAACTAAAAGTGCAGAAAGGAAAAAAGTAGAAGAAAAACAGAAGAAAAAAAAGATATAAAGAAAGATAGAAACAAGTGGCTTCCAATCTTCTTCACAGCAGTTATAAGTACAATTATATTTTAACCTCTCTCTC